TTTAGGAGCTTCTGTGTGTTTCCTATGATGCCCATTATCCCAGTTGAATGTGCACCTGTCCTCTGGGTCTGTGGGGACATGTGGCGCCAACAAGCCAAGAGTTCACTGATCAGCTTCTCCTTGTTAATTGGCCTGACCTCCCAAAAGACATGAAACTGATAAATGATCTGATGTAGTTTATCTTCACCTGAAACAACCTTACACACCACGTATTATATTTTGGGGATTTAATGATACGGATCATCATATACAGGTCATGATTTGACATTTTATTCATTGTAAACATCACAACTGATCCAAAACTGCTTAACAGCCATAGTAATAGTGATTTAGTGTCATTGACTTTTATTTTTTGAACATTTGTACTACTATGCAACATTTGAGCATGGCTCAGAGTGGCCATATAAAAAAGTTCAAAGCCGAAGTTGGTGGACTGAACATATTTATGGAAAATGCAAGAGTGAGTAAGCTAATAATGAAGGAAACAGTAGAAAGTAGTAAAAAAAAAACAATCAAATTGTATTGCTTTTGCATATGGCTCTTTTAAATAGTTATTTTCTTTTTTGGCTGTAAACCTGAAAAACCCTGGTGCTACCTCTACAGAGGTTGTAGTGTTACCTTGGCCAAGATTTCATTTTTGCCAGCGTTTGTTTATTGGTTTGTCCTTCTGATTTTATAACTCAAAAGTTATAGTTTGAGTTTTATGAATTTTTCTCAAAAGGTCAGTGTTTGCTAGCTTTTGTTTGGATCTGAACATGATGTAAATCCTAGATTTTACTTGAGTCACCAGCATAATAAATAACTTTTAACCTTTATTGTCTAAGATACTGAAGAAAGTAACTATGATAACTTACAACAGTTTCTGTTTGAATTGTTTGTTTTTGTATTTGTTATAATAATGCATACTATTTGGAATGGCATTTGCATAGTGTTATTTTAATCTTATTTTATAAAGAGGACTCAAGGGGAATTCAAGAATATATTTTAAAGTGAAATTCTAAAAGCGTACTCCCTCTTTCCATTGGTGGCATCTCTTGTCTGATAAAAGGCCTTCATGAGAATGTATGAGGCTTGTACATCTGCCTCCATTTTATCAGATCCACAAAAGAACAGATTAGGACTTCCAGATACAGTCACCACTACTGCACACACAGCAGCAGCATTTAGAGGATAACATTTGCATATAAGAAAAACGCTGCTCCATTTCGTGCTTAAAGGTGATAATGGTTTAATATCTTGCTGGATATAGCAAGAAACATCCACTTTAGATTTTAAGCAGTGAATTTATTGAAGCACAGAATAATTTGCGATTGCATTTACTTATTTATTTATTTATTTTTGTGGAAAAACAAACAGCTGGACAGATGCTGAGTGATAAAATGCACACTCCTGGACATGGGCTACACTTGTAAACAGCAAACCTTTTATTCAGATTTCTTCAAGATTTATGTGCACATTTTAAGCTTTGTGGGAATAACTTTTTATGTTGGTTGCAGTGTGAACTCGTATAAAGGGTGTTATGAGAGCACCTGACCATGTTTAATCTTGTGCAGAATCACTTTTGTTGAATAGTGGATGAACACAGTGGAGAGTTTTGCAGTAGGAGGTAGCGAGGCTTTGTCTGATGGATTGGTTCCTCCTGGTTGTGTTCTAATGTGTAAGTGTCCTGGTGTGTCATGTATCAGCCTCATCACAGAGCTGCTTCTGACTGTCAAAGGCTGCTAACGGCATCGTGTCTCCACAGGAGTCCAGCCCACGTCTCTCCACACACAACAAAGTCCATATTTCAAGTACTACAGCCAGCTGTAAACATCTTACTCTTACTTAAAAAAGCAGGCCATAGACAACTATATATATATATATATATATATATATATATATATATATATATATATATATATATATATATATATATATATATATATATATACATACACATACACACACACAAATACCATGCACACAGAACAATACATACAACATTATTACACATATACATACACACACCACACACTCTTACATACACATATTGTTTTTTGTTTGTTTTAGAGTCTCCTGTCTGCATTGGTTAGAAATGCTAACACTTGACCTAACATTCTTTTAATCAGATATTATCAGGTGTCCATACACAGTTCATCAATATTTTCTGCTGTAATTTTACTTATAAGGTATAACGTAAGTAATAACAGTTACTTTTCATTTCAAGTTGTACCTCTGGTTCCCTGCATACACTAAATTCAAACATTTTAAATATTCTATAACTTTTTACAGTATACAGCGGACCAACAAAGTGATAAACGTCAAACAGGTTGCCTAGTAACAGTGTCCCCCAAAAGCTTTTGTTGCCTCTTGATTTACATCCAAAAAGATTAATGGAAGCAGTAGAATATATATAGCATAACACATTAGGTGATTTCCTCGCACCTCAATATACCCACACGCCTGACAAGCTTTAGTCAAATGCTTTCTATTTGCAAAATAGGATCATATTAGAACAATGGGCCTATATAAGATCATTTTGGATTGCTGAGAAATACTGTATCTATTATGGGTGTCGTAACATTGAAAGAGCAGAAGTACGCCTCTCTCTGTGAAATGTTTGCCTAGCGTGCTGAATATTTACCTTAAATGAGGCGCTGTGTTGGCTGACAGCTGTGTGAGCATATTGGAAGACATTTAACCTTCGTAACAGTCTGCAGCATGCGCGTTTGACAAGCTGAGAGGAACAACAACACAAAGTAAAGGGCTGGGTGAGTGGTGCCGTGTGCTTGAGCAGTGGGCCTCCCAGCGTACGTGCTCTCGTGTCTATGTGTGAGGGAGCAGACGTGATTGGCGTGTCCTCTACGCTTGATTGATTTAAAAATATAGACAAGATGTCGTCTGTATGAAAGCTACCAATTTACAAGCCTTCATCTCTGGACTACACAGAGATGCCGGCGCCATCAGAATCAGAGCGCCAGTTTGTAGCGACCAATGGTTCAGAAGTAGAAACAGTGCAGTGACACCTCGCTAAAGGCTGCTACTGCTACTGAGCTGCCTCCCTTTTGTGCTTTTACCTGGCTCTTTGTCTGTTTGTCGGTGCGGTCTTGACTTGCCCCTGATTTCTCTCTCTTTTCTAAGCCACAGAGAGAGCTTTAAAAGTTGACTTGTCCCAGTGCTCAGTGTCAAACGCAGTGACCTTGATGCTTCTGGCACACTGCTTGCTGTTCTTTTCCAGTCTCGGACTCTTTGCATATTGCCCTGTCTGTGTTTCTGTAATCACTGAATTGTAAAACCATGTGTGAGCACGTTATCATGTGGGGAAAGCTTCAGCATTTTTTTTCCTTCAGTCCCACGCGGTGATAATTCTGTTTGGGAATGACAGCACTGTACCACGTCAGGAGATGGGCAGGGGAGAGAGGCATTGGGAGCTACTATTTAGATAAAACAAATTGCCAGCTGCCGAGCTGGAGCAGCCACAGCTCTCTGATAAAAACCAATGGGAATATGTGCATTATTTTGCATGTGCTGGGGGTATGGTGAATTTTAATTCTTGTGCGCCTGACTGTGCTTCCTAACTCCAGGTAGAGCCTCTCAACTTCTCCTTTCATATGAAGCTATTTTTCTGGCCTATAACCATAATGCTGTGATGGGACAAGCAGGCAGTAATTAAAATCAATAGCCAGGACTTTTTCAGTTTGCGGCAAGGTCATGCAGCACCAGAACACAGAAGGAGAGGGAGGAAAGGGGAGGCCTGGGATTGAGTAGATGGGCAGAGCCAAGTGGAGAGATATGTAAAAAGGTGAGGTGTCATCTTATTTTAATTAACCCACACCTCAGAGGCCTGGCACCAGCACTGCACCAGTGTGTGGGTGGCTTTATGTCCTACTGTCATTGGAAATCTACTGTGTCCTTTGTCGGTCATTTTGAATCACACTAAGCACTTCTCCTGGTCTTGGTAATATGAACATTCTCTCACAGAAATAACCACTTTGATCTGAATGCTTTTTCTTGGGAAAGGCTGGAGGATGAAGGGTTAGCTCGAGCTTCACTGGACTGACAGGGCGTGGTGGTGCTAGCCGCTGACTACATTAGTATTCACAGTTTATCTCCACATGCATATATACTCGCCTTCTTCTCCCAAAGAATGATCACTTCAGACTCTCCCTATTCCTTTTTTGTTTTAGCATTTTTTTTCCTTGCTGTCTGTCTGTTCCGAGAGTTTAGTGTGCGTAGGCAATGAATTCAGATGCAGGGCCATAGCTGGAGATGGTGCATTAGGAGGCTGAGCAAACACATAAAAGTCCTATGTGTTTCTAGGGTGACTCAGAAGGAGAGGTTCACTCTGTCAGGCTAACAGCAGAGCAGTCTCCCCTGTTTGTTGATTATCTAGTCCCATTCCTATCAGAGCTCCGATAAAATCTTCATCTGATCTTGTGCGAGGGATGTGAGCTCACCAGCCGGCCTTGCCTGCACGCGACAGTTGCCCGCAGAGTGCGCACACCTTCCCATATACCCCTATCAGGTCCAGATCTGCCATTGCTGTGCTTTCTCATCTCCGTCTTATCTCCTTATTCCACCTTTCTCCTGACTCCCAGCGCCTCAAACACACCAATCACTCATCATCGGCTGCCTCCTTTTATCCGGCTCTATGTGCACACGCCAAAGATGCCATGGCGACGCTCTTGTTCCCAGAGCCTGGTCTCCTCAGCGCTAACTGTCAGGGCCAATGTGGTGACTGACATAAGACAAGACAAGGAAGATTTGGAAGGAGACAGGAAACCAGGGGAAGTGGTAGGAAAATAAAAAACATTTAAATGCCGCAAACACAAAGTCACATGAACATTTTTTATCTCCATACTGTTTGTTGGTCTGCTTATTATTCATGGTTCCTATACATGCACCATTGATCCTTCAGCTAGTTGACCAAGCCAAGCTTAAGATCTGGAGATCTTGAGAACAATAAAATGGTCCTTAAAGCTAACCTATGGTGATTATATAGCTCTTCTCTGTTGTTGCAGGCAGAGGCTCCCTCCTAAAAACGTGTATTACTACCGCTGTCCTGATCATCGTCGCAACTACGTAATGTCCTTTGCCTTCTGTTTTGACCGTGAGGATGATGTGTACCAGTTTGCCTACTGCTATCCCTACACCTACTCCAGACTGCAGCACTACCTCGGCAGCCTGGAGCGCAGGAACCTGTCCTACCTGAAGAGGGAGCAACTTGGCCTCAGCGTGGTAAGTGAAGTGCCCAAGGTCAAGGTTCATCTATTAGATCTCATGGACCACACAGTGTTAATTATTCATAGTAATTTAATAATTGAACACCTAAATAAATAAACACACACAAAAGGTTAAGAAGTCCAAGCTCCAAATTAGAGCCCGACCGATATGGATTTTGCTGTGGCCGATATGAAACCGATATAATGGGAGTTGGAGCTGCCGATAGCCGATATAATCACCGATATTTAGTGATGTAAAAATTCACTGTAAATGTTGAATTGTTTAAAAAAACTTAGGTTTGGCTCTGGTGGATTTTAAATTGGGTTTATTTAGGCAACATTTATTGTTATTCTGCCTCTTTACATCATATTTACAGACAGTAGGTTGGCTTAATGGCATTTTTGCATCACATTCTAGACACTAGTGATGGGTATTCCAGTTCTTTTTAGAGAACCGGCTCTTTTGGCTCGGCTCACTAAAAGCTGCTGGTTCTTTTGGCTCCCAAGTGGCTCTTCAGATTGTTTTGTTGCAAGCAGGACTAAAGCACGTCTAAAGCAGGACTGACTCAGGACTGAACCAGGTCTAAACCAGGACTGAAAAAGGACTAAACCGGGACTTATTTATTTTATGATAAACTACAGTCAAATATGCTCGTTTTTTTTTTTTTTTTTTTTTTTTTTATCCTACGTACACGCAAATTTCTCAAAGTTTCGTTTTTAGGGCCGCTGCCGCTGTCAAACTACCACGAGTCTGCACGCGGCGTGAAGAGAAAAAAAGTGAGAGAAAGAGAAAACACGGCTCCCAATAAGGATCAGGCTCCCGTCGTTCCCTTCAAAGAGCCGATTCTAAGAGTCATAGTAGTAAAGAAAGTAGCGCTATTAGCCTTTAGCCGTAAATACGTGCGCGCCGCGGTAATTAATTATATGCGCAAATGTCATAATTCACACGTCTGTTCACAGCTCATTTACATATCAGTGCAGGTCCAGTAGCAAATATACGGCCAATATAGTCACTTTAGAACAGACTAATAGAAAACAGTCTGTTTATGTGCGGGAGCTACAGCAGCTAACCCATAACAAATGACAAAAACTAGCTTCAGAGTCGACATATTTCCAACACTCACCGCTCATACAGGCTCCTCCTCACATCACAAATCTGCACTAATAAATGTCCTTTTAATCCAGACTCAAACCGATTGTCCGTAAAAAGAATATAATCTCAGTGTTTGGATCCGTGTCTGCAGGTGTAAACAAACACGTGAGTGACGCGACTCTGTGGTGTGTTCAGGGACAGTACGGACACACACAGACAAATGACTCCCTAGATAAATACTGATGTGGAGCCACATATTAGGACATTTATCTGTCTGTAAATTGGATTAAAAGAAACAGAATGTAGAGAGTCTAAGCTTTATAACGAGGTATAACATGCCCACGTGAAATATCGGCCCCTATCAGCAAGCATATCGGCCGATAGCCGATATGCCTAAAGTTGTCCATATCGGCCGATAATATCGGCCAACCGATATATCGGTCGGGCTCTACTACAAATGGTATCTCTGATACCTGTCTACCTATGCCCATGTTTGAATTGATTTGTGTTGTGCCATTTTCTATTACTATTTATATAAAAAATTTGCACATGTGTAGGTTCAAGTTGACTTTGAGAAAGTGAGTGCTGTATTGTCCAAATGATTGAATTTACTCCAGTGCATAGGTTTGTGTTGGGTTTCACTGGTCCTACATGGGTGTGTTAGGTGTGCCTGTGGTGATGACTTTAGCCTCTCGTGTTCCTATTAGAGGTGCAGCACCCTGAGATGACGGACTGTAAGCTGGCGGCTGTGTGGGTGTGAATGCAGCGCGTGTAATCGGCACAGCTCTCACCTCACCAGTAGGAGCTAGTGTATCATGCACGCTGCCTCCAGTCCTGTCTGCTCTTATCAAATAATTGTAGGAGAAAAACTCATTAGAAATGCTTGAGAGATTACGACTTTTTCTTCTGTCCTCCAACATCCGTCAGGGAAAGCATGCAGCACGCAGCGCACCATGAAAGTACCGCTATTTATGAGAAGCAACTGATGATAAAATACACAAGTCTGAAATGAAGAAAGCGTGACACACTCAGGGGTAATGATACCGGTGAAAGAGTATTTAGAAATGTGCCATAAATGGATATGAAGATATAAAACTGAACTGCTGAAGTCGTAACTTTTAATGCATTTTAGGGTAACCTTAATAAAATGGATCTATGATTTGTCCTTCAGTGTGTGTAAAATATAGCTTTTCTGAACAGGTATGGTCAGGTTACAGCAGCTGTCCACATTCCATTTAAAGTTTATATTAGAATCAATTTTTTACTTACTACTTGCTACCTGGGTTTCAGATCAATAAATGCTAGGCACAGTGCTAATTCTAGCCTCCTTTCCTGATGTCCTAAGGAGGAGGCATGAGCTCTTCAAACAACATGGAGTTTGCCCTAAAAACTCATGTTTAGCTTTCCCTTGAGTTTTAAAGTTGCAGATGCAGGGTCTCACACACTAGTCTGATTCATCAGCCAGCTTCACTTCATGGAAACCGTCTGACTGTCGCTCGACAGTAGGCGGGTACTTTTTAATTTAACCAATCGCTGCTTTTCGTTGTGACGTATGTAATGGGCCAGATCCCATAGGGAGAGGGGCAGTAATGTTTTTCCCTTGATAAAATTCACCAGACATTCTCTTTGTTCCAGCTTTAAATCCTCAAGTTCAGGAATCGTTGCCAACACAGAATGTATGGCTTTGTCTACATCCATCTCGACGGCTTTGTTTACTGTTGTGCTGTGCCACAAAAGGACCCAGACAGGCACTTGAGTTTGACGTCATGGCTTCATAGCTCTTTGCTGATTGGCCGGTGCACGGTCTACAACTTCCAGGGTTCTTATAAACCATCTGATGTATTCCAATTCTTGACCTGGTCGCTGGAGAAAAATGAAATTGAGTGGAAGCACTAGGTGGCACCAGCCTGGCTACTCACACACACTTGTTTCGGTGGATATGTTATTACTTTGGCTGTAACGTTACACACACATGGAAATTAAATCTTTCTACTTTTATAGAGACAAGTTGGCAACGCCACCATGCTAAGTTACAGGTCAGATCTGTGGAGAAGTGATCCTGCTCGCAGTAAGAATGCATGATGAATGTTATTAAAAACATCATGTGCTATTAAAAACATCTATATTTGAATAAAAGTTAGAACTTTAGTGTCATACTGTGGAATATTCCAGACAACACAATAACATATCCATGGAGACAAGTAGGTGAACAGAAAAGTTACACTTTGTCCCTTTAACTTAGCTAAGGACACTGTCAAGGACATTATCTGTATTGCAATTCCCAGTATTCACTATATATTCTTAACTTTCTATCCATTTCTGCTCTCCACATTGTAAAAATAACATTTACAGACTAAATTTCGTTTTCATTACAAGTTGAGAAGCCTATTTAACAGTCTATTTTCGCACCTTAACAGCATGCACCTGATATGCATAATAAAAGCTACTAATGAGGCTATATTAAGATAAGTTCCTTCCCTCTCTGTTTTTTATCCATCTACAGCACAAAACCTACAGTCTTAACATATCACTCCCTTAACAGCCTATTTCATCCTAATTCAAATGCCAAGCTATTTCCTGCGTGACACTGGGTACAGCGAAAGGGGGCCTGACACGTCTTGACTCACGTAGTCTCAGTATTAGTATGCATAGTCATACACAGCCTTTATGGTCATATTTTTCTCTTTATGTTCTCTGGGCCTCGTGGCAGACAGCCCAGCCCCGCCCGCTCATATCTCCCTCAGTGTCTGCTTCACTGGCATTCACACTGGTACCATCTCCCCATCACATAGAAGAAGGGATGAGGAAAGCTTTCTGGTAGAGGGTCCGTTATCCAGTGGACTCCATCTAGATGTTATTGTTATTTTCTGGAATGTTCTGCAGTATGGCATTTAAGTTAACGATATCCATGGAAACAAGCAGCCACATCACTAGGCCAAATTATGAGTCAAATCTGTGGAGAAGTGGGCCCACTCACAGTAATAATGCATGTTTTCGTGGTAGTTTTGTGAAATTAAAACTCCTATAATTGAATAAATGCAACATCTGTTTGATGCAGTACTGTAGAATATTCCAGGCAAAGCTATAACATCTCTATTGAGACAAGCAGATGGAGGACCCTCCACCAGAAAAGTTACACAGTGCACCTTTAAAGACAACGTATAGCTGCTGTTTTGGTGTGTTATGCATAGGACAATAGCGTTAACCTTCTGTCAGCTATAATAATCTCACTGGGATGGAAATAAGAGCAAGGGTTATTTGCAGTGGCATTCTTCTATCATGCTGACTAATTTGTTTTCTGTAATGTATTCCGAATCTCCATTGTACAGCTCGCTCTGGTAGGTTCAGATACTGTAAAAAAGGTCAACGTCTTTCTTCTTTGTCATAATGAGAGCTGCCACAATTATTGACGAACATTTTTCAGTATCTTACCTAAAAGGATTTTCTGACTTGGGCTGGGTTGCACTGCAGAAGTCTTTTTAATTGACTGGGGAGGAAAACTGTAGACTTGGAGGGACAGAGATAGAAGAGATAGAAGGGGAGATGGAATAGTTCTATGGTGAATGAAAAGGGCAGACCAAAAGGATTTGAATATGATTTCCACATCAGCTTCTCAATTCTCTGCACTCATTTTCCACGGCCGATTGAGACTTTAGAGCCAGAGTGGATTTCACCTGTTCAGGAAACTCTCAGATCTGCAAGGGAAAGTGGGGAGGGACGAACAAGCTGTTTTTTGGTGATTGTCAGCTAACATCTCATCTATCATTCATAGTGGGGAATGAGGAGACAGGTTTTGTTTGATTTAACTTCAGGGTTCTGGGTTTTTGTGGTCTTAAAGCTAGTTCATTTTGATGAGTTTAAACCAACGGTATTTTAAGTTCACCTGTTCTGGATCAGGTTAAGTTGGAGAACATGGACAATAG